AACCGTTTTAAAATGATAACGTATGAACTGCCAAATGTTGGGTATTTGATGACAGCCATACGGTTGGAATGATCATTTCTATTTAATTTATCCATCTTCACTTATTTTGATTGCCTCTACGACTGCATAATTTCTAATTCAACGTTTCAGTTATAATACTGCTCTGTTTTTGTTGATATGACATAATTGCAGAGGTATGAACTGTGAAGTTTTGCGAGAATTTTTTCAATGATTTACTGAATAGTATTATTAATGGAATCGAAGCGTTCATAACTATTTTTGTATTATCTTCAGCAATAACTGATGAATATTATCATGGTAAAATATGTTGAGATATCAGTTGATTTTATGATCAAAGAATCGTTTGATCTCCCTTCTTAATTTCTACTTTAATTTCAGTTTGAATGCGACTGTTGTCTTAAATCGTCTGGCTGATTGTATACTCCAGAAGTCTCTAGTGTACGTTTCTGTACGATTGTATTAGGTTTTGATTTGATCAGTTACTGATCACCTACCGATCAGTCTGATCAGTTACTTCCTATTACTTACTTGTACCACTTTATTATATGGTTGTATTAGCATTGATTCATTTCACTTTAGTTCATCAAAACCATACTTATTGCTGTAAATATTAGTGGCAACTGGCTGAGCTTCGAATCTTCACCGTTGGTCATCTGATTCCAGTTTCTCTTCTTATTTACGACACTCTATCATTAACAGTCTCAGTATCAATTGCTTTATCATTCATTTCATTTACCATCACCATGCACTCACCATTAAGTTGGACAGTTTGCCAATGTAATATTCAATCATACTTTCCTAACTGTACGTTTTTACTTGTTAACATTTGCTATTGTACTGAAATGATCTTCATTTGGGTACGATCATCATCTACTTACTTTCATAACTAATTCTCATCTATTCTCTATTATGATATGTTAGTGGTGAGTGGTTGTGTCTCGGCTTTGGCCATCTGATTCCATTTTGTGCATTCTTCATCATTGTCCCTTTATTCATTCAGCAGTTCTAGTGCGCAATATGATTCCTGCGTATTGCCCTCTTTCACGTTACCTTTGACAAGTCGTAATTATTTCTAATAATGTTCACGATCACCTTATCCTCGTCTTCAGCATTTGTAAATGCATTGCTGATACGGAGGGATTTATGAATAGAATAATACCTGTATAAAGGTGTCATTCTACTTATAAAGACATATTTATTGTGCTCATTGAACTTGCATCTATTTTTAAGCAGTGGATCACTTGATCATGCCGTAGTGATGTTTACTCTGACACTATATCGAGTCACATAGTCCAGAGTGAATCTGTAACTGTTATGCTGAGAGATGTTCATCAGATTCATTGATACGTGAGTCTTTGATTATCTTATTTCGTATTCTCTTACCAATGGGTTTATGTTACTGTTTAGGATACGTTGACACGTTACATATTCTACTATTACTTTCGGCCATCCGATTCTAGTTTCTATTTTCTTCATTATCATCCTATCATTCAAAATTTTTGATGGACCTTTGTGGATCGACAGGCATTCGATATGAATGATCCAAATATTCTTAACACTGAAAAAAGAATCTGGATGACCTTATTGCTGCGGTCATTTGGAAATTGAAAAGTACTGCAATAGATACCGCACATTCTGCAGAGCTATTCTAGTATCTTGATTGTAGAATTAGATGTTCATATTATTTCATTATGACGATACCAGTTGATTTTAACTGATTAGGTATTCAACCTCTTCTGAGGATAATTTATCCAGGCATAGTGTAATAGCACTTCTGCGAATCACTCCGTGACCATAAACGTAAAAACGAATAGGATAATAATCGCTCGTCACTTGTCATTATCTGAGAAACACTATTGGACGAATGCGATATCGCTTTGAATGTCACTGTTGTTTTCGGCGAATCAGCGTCGACGTTACGGTAGTGATGAGCTCATTAACCAATCAAAATTCGAGGAGGGATTTTACTTATCGTAAAACACTTAGCACGGCTAGACTTTCGAGATTTTTTATTTCGCCATTCAGTTATTGTATTATATTAACCGAAATTGATTACTTCAACTTGTTAAGCACACTATATCCGTAATTTCAATTGCATTTTCGTGTATTCATTGAATTCGTTATAACTCATCATATCTTTTTACCCCGTTCGTGAATACCTGCGCTATCTGATTGCATAGTTCGGTAATGATGGCGAATGCAAAAATGCGTTTATTGTTTTCTTGATCAATTAGTTATGAATCAAATGATATGGAACGAATTCAGCAGATATCAATCATTAAATACAAATTGCGATTATACATTCAGAAGTTTCAGTGATGATAAAAGTTGTCACTCTTCAATCATTTTGGTGGAAGCCTGAAGCTAGGCGAAACTTGCTCTTTCCATTTGGCAAATTCGTCCTGAAAAAATTTCAATTAAGACCAAGAATCTTCCATAATCATGATTATCTCTGGTTAAGATTAAAACTTTGCTAAGCGTAACAATTGATTAACTAATTGCTATTTCATTAAGTGATTTACTTTAGTAATTAAGTGGAAACTCACAACAAATTTCATGTTATCTTCCGATTTATTAGATTGCCTCATATTCTTTATTGCGCTATAGAAGTTCTCTTCACTATTTTATGTTTGTTCTTCATATTGTGCGTTATTCATATTTTATATTATTCACTATTAGTCATATTGCTTTTATAATATTTCTCAAACAAATTCTGTGGGCAATATTACTGCAAATTCAAGTTTCGCACTTTCCATCGTTGGTTTTGTGAAAATAACTTTATAGTGAGCGAATAAAACGAACCCATAATTCATCTTCGCGTTTTTTAATCGCTTCTTTGGCAATTTTCTGTGCCATCAGCAGTCTCTTCCAACGGGGTATCTCTGTGTCGGTTCCTGAGAAATACTCTGGCGTTTGGTCGATGAACTTTTCGGCTGTGTATTCTTTATTGACCGCTTCGATCTCCAAATATACCTGCAATTATGACTTCAGTAACGTTATTGCAATCGTTAATATATAATAGCAGCGTCGTTTTTCACGTGTTTGCGGATGAACACTTTCTATTTTTGTGTAAATCTATATGCTCGAGCAAGTTGTTGTGTTGGAAGTGGGGAATTGCCGAGTTCATTTCGCTATTTTTCATTGCAGTCTTTTTTGACAAATGATAGATTCGTTATCACAGGCAATGGATGCAGTGATTACGATCAATAGGATGGTTCATTATTCTAGGAAGTTTGAGCAGTTTAAGGTATCGGTTTACCCTCTTAAAATTTTGTTATCGAATTTTGAAAAACGTGGGTATCTTATTGTTAGTGATAGATGAATTATTGATTTGAACGTAATATGCATTAGCTCGTAGGTGAATAGTTGAGGTAAAGCATGATCGTGGAAATAAATGATGATGAGTATAACAGTGATAGTAATGATAAAAACTGACTTGATCCTTCCTTTCGCTGATCTCTTTTCGTTTCTCCTCCTTATATTGTGCTAACGAAGTGATGCCATTTGACATCATTTTCAGCTCTGAAATGATTTAGCAAAGAATTTTGTTGTGATCAGTATTTACGTATTGAGTTGACGTGAACTTGGGAAATCACATTTTTTGAGGGATGAACACAATCATTTTTATGTATTTCTTAATTCACTACCCAGATCTTGGTCATTTCATCTACTCTTTCTCAACTTAATTCTTGAGAAATCTTTGAATGCTAGATTTTATCAACATTCATGATTTCCTGAATGAACTCCTAATAACTTTGAAATTATCTGATTTCATTTCCA